CTATGGTCTGATCTGGAGGGTGGGTGGGTGGATCTTCTCGTGCGGGTGCCCCTTGGGGCTCTGCGCTCGGGATCCCTCTTGGGCCCTTGGGCTCTGGTCTTCCCTATGTCTGCCTCGTGTCTTGGGGGTTGGTCTCCGATCCTCCACAGTCACTATTAAATATTCCATTGGAGAAATCTTGTAAATACACGCATGTTCACAACCGCTCACAGACAGGTGTTCTGATCCAGGGGGTTCTGACTGGTCACTGAGTGTGTATATACTGCATGTCTGTGTGTATATACTGACAATATTTATGAATGTAGGCATGTACGTATGTACAGTATATCTTTATATGTATGGGTATGTATATATTTTTATGTATGCCCTCCATGAATTTATCCATTTATTTTTCAGGTGAGTGGACAGATGTTGGGTGTGTGGTCCTGTGTTTTGTTGGTGTATATTTAATATACTTCTAATCGCTATTTCAATCTTTCTATCTTTCTAATCACTTCTCTCTCTGTTTTTCTCTCTGTCTCTATTTTCTTTTCACTTAAAAAAGTCACTGATGATGAAGAAATAAATAAACTAAATTAACTAATATTTGGTTTCGTTTTCTACCAAAGTGACAAAAAAAAGAATAGAGCACAGCCCACAGATAATAAATCAAAAAACAGTTTTTAATGTTAGAACCTCTCCTGTACATGTTTTCTCTAAATACTCGTTAATATTGTATGTATTCATCATGATTTATAACAAGTATTAGTACTTTCAAATTGATGTATTTACTGAGGATGGCAGTGTTGATTGATAAACTTAGCTTTCTGAAMGCTTTCTACTTATTACTTTATGTCTGCATAAATACAACAGGAAGATTTTAATTGTGAAACCCTTTAATAGTCCAAACTAGTTTATAAATCTTGAGCCCTTTTTTAGGGTTTCAAGACTCCATGATTCCAGACTTTTGTGATTTCTGAGCAAGTCAGTAGGAAACTGTGCAGAAAGTCATGAAAATCTCTCTTTRTCATTGTTTGAGGATGTGGAAGTGTCACTTTTAAAAGCTTTCTAACATCCCAGATAGCAAAAAAATGAGTGAATCAACATTGAAATATGGTCAGGCATGCTACTGAATCCATGTTGAAATTATACAAGTGGTCGATGACTTACTTGTTGAAACGTTTCAACCATAACTGATGCTATATCAGTGTTGATTCAACATTGATTAGACRTTGTCATTTCACTCCTTAGAATTCCACCATAAAATAACATTGATTCAATAACCGTCCATCTATCTGTTTTCTTCTGCTTATCCAGGGTCGGGTCGCGGGGGCAGCAGCCTAAGCAGAGAGACCCAAGGAAGGCGTTCCCAGGCCAGCCGAGAAACATAGTCCCTCCAGCTTGTCCTGGGTCTTCCTCTGGGCCTCCTCCCAGTGGGACATACCCAGAACACCTCACCAGGTAGGCGTCCTGGAGGCATCCTAACCAGATGCCTGAGCCACCTCAACTGGCTCCTCTTGACATGGAGGAGCAGCGGCTCTACTCTGAGTCCCTCCCGGATGACTGAGCTTCTCACCCTACCTCTAATGGTACGTTCACACCGAACGCGTTTTGAGCRGCAGGAGCTGCTGATTTACATGCAAAGTCTATGGCGGACGCGCCTCTAGGGGTCGTGCGTCGCGTCACGTATGTTTTGGGCGGTGCGCAAGGAAGGCGGAAGGGGCGCAGAACGTTTTCCGCGCATGCGGTGCTGCGGAAGCAGCCGCCGCCCGAGCCGCCGCCAGAGTTCAAATATCTGAACTTTTCGCCGCTCGACGCGTCTCCCACTGAAAACTGAAACAGGCGAATAGGCCTGTCGCGATAGTCAATAAATCAATTAATCGC